TGTGTGTGTGTGTGTGTGTGTGTGTGTGTGTGTGTGTGCATGTTTTTGCTTCACAGAAGGTCTCTATGTGAATTGTTGTTCATGATGAATTTATTAGATGAATTTATTACAGGACATGGAGACTTTTTGTTTCAGTGGGTAACCACACACCCTCCTCAAACGACTGGGCGCCTCACTACGACTGGAAATATTTTTAAGATGCACTATTAAAAAATAAGGTTGCATTTGTGACCAAATTATTTGCACTCTAGAACCCTGATTGTACTGTTTCACTGGGCTTTTATCAGCTTTGTCGGACAAACAGAAGGTTCCTGAACCCACCTGAACAGGTCATCTCCGATGGTCTCGTCCCGTCTGTTCTGACGCTCCTCCTGAACAAACAAAACAAAAACCTGTTTTTTATCATGAATTCCACAGGATGAGAAAAGGCTAAAGGTGGAGGCAGACGGTACCTCTGCTGCATCTTTCAGCCACTCATCCACATCAGAGTTCTGACTCCTGTTGTGGACCAGGAGGTCCGATCCACCGATGATGTGTGGGAGACCACCTGCACCTGGAACACGTTTCTGCCACACACATGCAGGCATATTCATGTTAAACATTAAATTAATTAAAACAACAACAAACAAATTAAAACAAAGGACAAGAACACATGAGCTAAAAATGATCATATTTATTATACATCATGGTTCATTCAATAAATGTGTCAAAAATATAGAAAATGTGAGTTAATCMCAGAGATCTGTGGTTGAAAATAAGACAGGAATATCAGCATTTTGGTAAGACTTTACAATAACTRCACCTTATTTATCCTTATCTAATCATTCATAAATGATTAATTAATCATGAAAACATCATCAAGGATGAGCCGTTCTTACAAAGCTATAAATTAACACATTTATTAATGCTTTACCCATAAAGAGTAATAAAAACACATCTATGAGCATTTACAAAAGGTATATAGAAAAGTTAATTATTCTTCAGTTATTAAAAAGATCCATGATTAGTTGTAACATTAGACTTTATTTGATAAACATTTATTTTAACTGTAGAATAAAGACTGTAAACATACTGAACACTGTTCAGCTTTTATAATTTTTTTAAACAAAATTTTTAAAAATATATTTTAACACGGACTGAGCCATTTTATTTGCACACAAAGCATTCTGGGTAAATGATGACGTGGATAGGTCCTCGGTGCGAGGCTGCTAGCGAGCTA